AATTAAAAATAAAAATTTTAAAAAGGAATTAAAAAAACTGGAAAACAGTGTGGCAGAAATGAGATATACACCAAAATTTCACCCCATATACCAAGATAAATTCTAAAGGGCCATAAGATTTAAACATAAACATAAGCAAATTAGAGAAGCAAGGAAAAAATCATCCTATGGACAGGGGAAGAGTTCATGGTAGAGATTATTACAGAAGATAAAATGAATAATTTTGATCACCTAAAATTTAAAGTGTACGCACAAACAAAACAAAAGTAGTTAAAATTAGAAAGAAGATAGGTTATTGGGGAAATTTTTGTTGCAACAAATTTCTCTGATAAAGTTCTCATTTCCAAGATACATAAGGAATGGATTCAAATTTATAAGAATGAGTCATTCTCCAATAGATAAGTGGTCAAAGGATTTGAATAGGCAATTTTCAAAGGAAGAAATCTCAGCTATCAATAGTCATATGAAAAATGCTCCAAATCACTAGTAATTAGAGAAATGCAAATTCAAGCAATTCTGAGATTCTACTTAACACCTCCTCAGATTGGCAAAGATGAAAAAAGGAGAAAATGGCAAATGTTGAAGACACTATGCAAAACATCCACCATTGATAGAACTGTGAATTGGGTCTAGCCATTCTGGAATACAATTTGGAATCATACCCCAAAAGTCATTATGTTATTCATATTCTTTAACCCAGTGATGCCATTCCTGGGCCTATATATCCAGAGGATCAAAGAAAGAGGGAAAAGACCTATATGTACAAAAATATTTATAGCAGCTATTGTAGTAATAAGAAGTTGGAAATTAAAGGGTTATCCATTTATTAGGAAATGGCTAAACATATTATGGTATGTCAATCAAATGGAATATTGTTGTGTCATAATAAACAATGATATAGAAAGTTTCAGAGGGAACTAGAGGGAAGAACTCTATGCAGAGTGAAGTGAGCAGAAAAAGAACAATTTATACGATGACAACATTCAAAGTAAACCAACTTTGAAAGACCAGAACTCTTATCAATGCAATGACAAACCATGATTCCATAGGACCAAAGACAAATCAAAATGCATACTTCATGAGAGAATGGAGATGGGCTTAAAATTCAAAATGTGATAAATATTTCTGGACATGGCTAATAGGAGAATGTGCTTCACTTGGCCATGCATATTTGTTATGAAAATTTTCATTTTATTTTTTGTTATTGTTATTTAAATGGGAAAGGATAGAAAATGAATTCTCATTAATTTTTTTAAAAAATCACATTTTAACCACTTCATTTTAAAGCCCCAGGATGCATAACACTTTGGATGTAAGTCTGCAAAAGGGTTATTCAAGGCTACTTCCTCACCAACCTTCTTCCTCTTGGCCAGAAGGAAAGAGAGAAGATATCAAAGTTAGGATAGATGAGAAACCCAATGAAGACTTGAGTGACAAAAACAGGTTAGAAATAAGGTTGAGTTAGCTGATATCTAGTTTAAAAGCAGGTTTGATTTAAAACAATTTGAAAATTTGATTTGAAAAAGCATGATTGTAAATTCCAAATTCTCTCCCTCTTTCCACTCCTCCCCCACTCATTTAAAGTGGCTAAAGCCGTATTAAATAGGGCAATGGAACCAAGAGACATGGTTTTGTTTCTGGCTTCTGTTCTATTTAGCTGTAGCCCCCAAATTTGTTCAAAGACACCTTGATGAGGAAAAGAAAATTATCTTTTTCTTCTTACATTTTCATTTTCCCCTTTTTATTCCTTTTATCCACATATCCACTGCAATCCACTTGCTCTTTGCTTCTTCCGACCCTGAGGCTTGCCTTATTACCACTAAGACATCAACTTCTCGGGGCTAGCCTGAAACTTTCCTGAAGTCTAAAAGGAAGGTTATTACTTTGCACTCAATCTCATCCTAGTCCATCATCAGGCAGCTCTTTCCTCCTTATGTAAAGAAATGGTCCCAGGATGCATAATACTTTGGATGTAAGTCTGCAAAAGGGTTATTCAAGGCTACTTCCTCACCAACCTTCTTCCTCTTGGCAAGAAGGAAGGAGAGAAGATATCAAAGTTAGGATAAATGAGAAACCCAGTGAAGTGACAAAAACAGGTTGAGTTAGTCGATTAAAAAAAAGCATATTTGATTTAAAACAATTTGAAATTTTGATTTGAAAAAGCACGATTGAAAAGTCACTGGGCTTGTAGGACTAAAATTCATTCTCAAGAACAATAAACTGAGAAAGATTTAAATGGAAGAGGCATAAGTTCACATAATACCAAATATAAAGATGCAAGAATTGTTGCATAATACATGAAACAAGAAGTGTAATGTTTTACTATTTTTTGAAGGGCTATGATGATATTCCAAAAATATTGTGCTATGTCTAAATCAGTTCTGAAGACAATAAAACACAGATGGTCAGATATATTCAGGATGTGTGAACCGTCCTTGGAGTACTTAAAAGAAAAAAATCCTATTCTTATAAACTGGCTTTAAAGCCAGGGAGAAATAGGTGCAAATTCTGCCTCTGACAAATACTGACTAACCCTGGCCAAGTCACTTAATTCCTCAGTGTGCCGGCAATTCAATAATATTTCAATTTGAGTGAAAGTGCCAACTTGGTTGGTAAAGAGATTTTACTCAACTGGAAGTTCAATATACCAATGAAATCACAATTATAATACCTTTGTGGTATTGCCTCTATACAAGAACTAGAACTGAAGCTTACTTTGCAGTGGTTGAATTCAAATTAAAATTGAATGGCGTAACAAAGTTCTACTTGGTGTCTATATCTCTCTCATGAAGATCTAATATACATGAAGGATGTATAAATGCATTATGTTGTATATTTTGTCAAAAGGATTTATTTGGTGCATACTATGTACCAGGAACTGTGCTAGGCATTGGAGATATAAATATAATGAATGACCCAATCCTTACTCACAAGCAGCTTATATTCTAATGGAGGAGACAATGAGGACATTTAGAAGTATATACAGATTAAAGAGAAAGAGAATAAATACAAGGTAATTTTTGAGAAAGAAGGCACTAGCAGTTGAGGGGACCAAGAAATGTTTCATATGGAAAGTGGTACATGAAATCTGATAGTGGGAGCTAGAAGCTATACACATGAAAACATAAGTCAGAAAAAAAAGCAAATGAAAAATTGCGGTCCCATTCCAGCTATTTAAATACGCATTACAACACTTTCACTGTGTCTAGAATCATAGATGTGAAATGCTTCATCTTATTTCTTTGAGTTGAGGAATAACTAAAAGGAAACAGAGTAATTCACGTAAAGAAGGGCAAGACGTGCTATTCTGATAACACAGGTAATTATTAGAAGGTTAATATTCCTGGGTCTAATATTAAGGGGAAGAATGTTGACTAAGGCATATGTACACTCTACAAAGCCAAACTTACTTAACATATGACTTATGTATAACTTATTAAATCTTAATACATGGAACTTAAAATATTTATTATAAAATTAATAATCATAAATAAATCAAATAAACATGTAAAATAATGAATAAAATGTTATCTGAAACCACCAGCCCTTAAAAAGGTAGAACCAAAGGACACAAAAAATGAGCAAAAAGAAAAGTTTCTGCTCCAAGTCCCCAATCATTTTGCCTAAATTTCCACTATCTCTTGCTTTTCTTTTTTTTAAATGTAATTGTAGAATACACACAAACGTATGGGCGCACGCACACAAACACACACACATACATAATTCTAGTGATGATTTTACTTTGTATTTAATTTTATATAGGCCTTTCCACATCCTACATAGGTTTCGTATTTATGATTTCTATGGTACCATTCTATTCATTACATTAATATTCTATAATTTATTCAGCCATTCCCCAGTTGTTGAATATAGCTTGCTTTCATTTTTTTGCTATTGTAAATCAAGTATATATGAATACTTTTTGTATAAAAAGACTTCTATTTCCTTTGGACATATGTACTATAATCTCTTAGCCATGTAAGCACTGGATTTAAGTGTATTAGCTTTGTGATTCTTATTATATACTGCAGTCATACCCTCCAAAATGCCTATACCATTCTATAGTTCCAACATTAATATAAAATAGTTCTTGACTTCCTGAAGTCCTGCAATATTGAATTTCATCATCTGGGTAGTATTTTTGCTATTCTAAGGATATCTGGTAATATTCCAATGTTGGATATATATTAGGGAATCTCAGTATCTTGAGAGGCAGCGGGATATAGTAGTTAGAGAGCCAGCTTTGGGGTCAGGAAGACCAAAGGTCAAGTCCAGTCTCTAAGCCATAGTAAATGTGGCCCTGGGCAGATCATTTAACCTCTCAAGCAACAAAGACTGTGTTACAGAACAGTTTGTTGATCTGTGTTTGTAGTGGGCATTTTATCACCTACAGTTTCCTAAACTAATAAAACTACAGGTCTAGCCCCAAAGCATCTTGTCATGTGATTATTAAGAGTTTTTATTTTCTCTTTCAAAAACTGTCTGTTCATCAGAACTGAACACTGTATAATTATGACCAGGCTGGGGCCTTGAGCAGGTTTGCAGAGGTGCAAAGGTGGTGCAGAGATGGTGGATTGTGAGTGTGAAATATTAACTATACGGGCTGATATGGGTAATGTGCTAGTTTTGATGACCTATTTTTTTCCATTAGCTTTTTAAATCATCATTGCAAAGGAAGGCTCACTGAGAAGGGAGGAAGGGACATATCTGGGAATGAATGTAATGTAAAACTGTCACCAGTAAAAAAAGGAAAATGTTTCTTCATGTTCTTTGTCTGTTGGTCTATTAGAGAAATTCTTTTTGCTGTGGAAAATCCTACCTCTATGCAATTAAATCCACAAATGTTCTTTCTAATAATGTCTTCTGGTTGATAAAAATGCCCTACCTCTTTGTAGTTGAGATAACTATACTATTTAATTTTCTTAGTTTTTATGATCAAAAAAAAATTAGATCTCTGCCAGTTTAGACCAGGATTTTAAAGAATAGAGCCCCACACTCAGTTGATTTAACTAAGGGTTTTATTGATGATGGATAAACTTATCTGTTATAAATATAAAAACAAGATATGGACCACTGTGTGCCTCATTGTTACTTGGGCCCTCAAAAAAAATTCTAGTCCTGAAAGTTAAAAGTGACACATTTGAGTTCCAGGAAACCAATCTATTACAGGACTGCAGGCTGATTCAGGGAAATTGGTTGAATAAGTATTTTAGTACTTTAGAGTACAAAGAGATGGAACCTCTTAAAAATGCACCATTCTAAGATAAGCACACCCCAGGCACCTTGAATATGCCAACCATGAATAGGTTTGATGAGAACAACACAGGTCTTGCTAAATTTTCTTTCTTAAAAAATTATTGTGAGGACAAAATGAGATAATAATTATAAAGCACTTAGCACAGTGCCTGGCACATAATAAGCCGTATATAAATTTTATTATTATTATCATTATATTTCTATGCCCCATCTCCTCACTGAAGGGAAAAGGGACCCATTCTACCCAGACTGCATCAAGATCACTCATCTTTTTGAGTTTATTGCCAAATATGCTTTGAGGTTTAGGTCCAAACCCATTTTTTGCCCTACAGCTACTCAATTTTCCCAGCAGTTTTTATTAAATAGTTATTCCATTCCTTAATGCTTCTTCATGTATGAGCTTATCAAATAATAACCTTCTATATACATTGGGTTCTATTCCTAGGTTCTCTGTTCACCTATTTGTCCACTCTTTTTCCAGTGCCAAAGTTTTTATAATTATTGCTTTTTAAAACATTTCATGATCTAAACAATAAATATTTCATTTTCATCAGTTTTCTTTCCCATATATTTTAAAATATTCTTACCTAATTCCATATGAATTTTTAAACTGTTAGTTTTGTGAAACAACCCATTAGCATTTTGAATGGTATTGCCATAAATCTGTAAGCTAGTTTGGTAGTGTTAACATTTTAACTTTGCTCAACCCAACACCAAGCAGCGGATATTCCTTTATTTGTTCAATTCTTCCTTTTCTTCTGTCAAAATCATTTTGATATTGTCTTTAAACAGGTCTTCCATATGCCTTGAAAAGTCAATGCCATTGATATTTTTATTACCACAAAGGGGTATTTCTCTTAGTATTAAACATATACAAAAATGGAGATGATTTTGTGGGTTTATCAGAATGAATTGTTTTAATAAACAAATTGTCATATCCAAGTCTTTGATGCACAATCCTTGATAACTGTTAGGAAAATCTTCAACCCTCTCCCCCCACCCTAGAAATAGACATTTCTAAGAACTATTAGTGAGCACATTCCCCCAAATATTCACTTTTTTCCCCCAGTGATTCATTCAACAAATATTAAGCCCTTATTATAGTGCACAGCACTGTCAAGTGCTAGGAAAGATACAAAGTTTAGATTAGATGTGGTCCCTGTCCCTCTGGAGCTTACAAAGGTGACAACAGTTACCAGGTCAACCTTGCAAATAAGAATCCAAGTTAACTTTAACTTCCACTCTTAGAGGTAGAGGGGTGGAGAAGACAGGAAGCCATGTATACTACCTATGTATGGCCTTTTCTCGTTCTATAGAATAGCTCATCTCATTGTCTCAATTCCCTTAACCATAAAGGGCTGTATCAGCAGATTTGTAAGAGAGGTTTTGCTAAGATGCAGGTTATTAATTTGTTTAACTTAACACATGCAGATTTTGACAACCAAGCAAAAAGAACAGGTGCTTGCTGAAGACTTGACTAATTCTTATCCAACCAATCAGAAGACAGATATAGAGAACATATTTCCATTGAATTAGTTCACAAGACTCCAGCTTGTTAAATTCAGCACATATTAGAAATATGCAGTCAGTTTTATACAATGCATTCCAGCTCTAAAATTATGATTTTGAATATTTTTATGAGATAAATGTATAGGATGATTATTATAATGAGTATAAAGTAGTAAGATTCCTTTTTGCTTACTGCATAAAAGGCATATTACAATCACAATGCATGTGTACAAAAACCAATAGGTATCTCCACAGGCTGATTTGGTATGATTAAGTCTTGAAATTTCTTCCCATTCACTAAGTCACAAGGAAAGAGAAAGAAGGTGGATAATCAGATCTAAGTTGGATTGTGCTTATGGAACAGGTTCTGTTTGCATTAGGACGTACCAGAAATGTACTAACTGCCAATTAAAGGTAGAAGGGAAAATCTTTCAATACTCTGAGTTAAGTAATAGTTTATGCTGTTCTTCTTCTAAAAGAGAGCTGGTCTATCTCAAAAGGAAGTAGTTTCCTGTGCTTGGAAAAATTATGGGGATCCTTACATCCAGCAAGGTCACCTGATAATGGCCAGAGGAAGAAGTGCCAATTTATTGAGGAATAGTGAGGGGGGTGTTTGACAGTGAGACATAAAAAATAGAAAGGTGTGCCATCTTCCTAGGGCATGTATCTGGGGCAAGATGGAAAGCCTCCCAAATCTTGTCAAATATGACAACCCCTAAGGGGAACTTTCCAAAAAGGATCATTGTAGACACACAAGGAACTCACTGATGGACTTTGGATTTGTTTTTGTTTTTTTTTAAGCAACAAAAAAAGATGGGCAGGTAATCCAAGTTCAGTGCAAAAGAATATTAGTCTATAAGAAATCAGGTGCCCAATGCCTAAAATGATCTGAAACCAGTCAAGAAGGTTAAGGAAAGATAAAGAGCTTTTAAAGCCATGAGAAGGAAAAGTGAAGGAAATACCTACTTAATAAGTATGTACAAAGTACCCAGCCTGTGCTAAGTGCTTTACAAATATTACCTCATTTGATCCTGGCATCAGCCCTGTAAGGTAGGTGCTATTATTATCATTCCCATTTTAGAATGAAATAAACTGAGGCAGACAGAGGTTAGGTGACTTACTTAGGGTCATACAACTTAGGCAGTGATCTGAGGCTGTAATCTAACTTAATTCTTTTTGTTCAGGCCCAGCATTCTGTCTACTGTATTACCTAGCTGCCCATGTTGGAGGTAGGGAGGAAAACCACTATTTGGGGGTAGATGGATGATGATAATGGATAATGGCAAGAAGACTGGATTGCTCAGTTCTTATTTATCTTTTGTTTCCTCTACCAGGAGATAATATTTGGACTGAACAGGGCATAATATTGTCTAAAGGGAACTGAATTCCAAAGTAGGTAGACAGTAAGAATATACCAGCTGCCCTTGATAAAGTTATCAGCAAGTCTTAATCAACACATCCCAGAATACTGAAAGAACTGGTAGATTTGATTGGTGGGTCATTAGACTGGAGAATGAGCAGTGTGGTCTAATGGATAGTGGACTGAACTTGGAGTCTGGAAGACATAAGTTCCAATCTAGGCTTTAAATAGATGACCCTATGACAAATATCCTGATTTTCAAAAGACAGAAGAAAATGAAAGCAATATATAAGCCAAGGAACTTGACTGTGACTCCTGACAAATTTGTGGAACCTTTTATGAAAAGGATGTGAATATCCAGAAAGGGAAGTGGTGATCACTAAGAGTCGGCAAGACTTTATGAAGATGAAATCTTTTCTTTGCAACTGGGTCATTCTATTGATAGGTCAGAGGGATGTTATATACATAGTTTGTCAACAGATAAAGATCTTTGAAGATATATACAAGATTTAATTCAATAATCACGTAGTTAGTACCTACCATAAATAAAGCATTGTGCTAGGTACTGGCAATACAAAGAACAACAACCACAAAAAATTCCTATCCTCCAGCAGGTCACTTTCTTCCAGATGAAAAGACATCAGACAATAACAACATAGTTAGATGGATCTGGAACTTGATGAATGGTCATTCTCAGAGAATACTCATTAATAGCTTAATGTCAACTAGAGGTAGGTATATAATGGAGTGCCTCAATAATTTGTCCTTAGCCCAATTCCACTCAACATTTTCCTCAAAGAATTGCATACAGGCACAAATGTCATGCTTATGAAATTTGGAAATGACTTAAATCTATGAAGCATAACTGGCATGTCAAATGGGAATAAAGGACCAGAAATATTTCAGTGGTTTGAATGGCAAGGGGTAGGGAGAGAGTGGCAAATGTACTAAGATAAAATTGAAATAAATCTAGCTTTAAATGGGTTAAAAATCAGCTTCATAAATATTTAAAATAGGGGGAGCCATGGCTAGAAAACAACCCATGTGAAACAGATGTAGGAGTTTTAGTGGATTGCAAACTCAATTCAAGTCAACAGTGTGAATATGGAAGGCAAAAAAAAAATGAATGCTATCCATAGGATACTCTGAGAAGAAGCACAGTACCCAGAACAAGGGAGATGGCAAGCTCTTAAAATTTTGCTTTAGTTAAATTACATTCAGAGTAGCATATTGTTCTGGACCCCGTATTTTAGAAGGCTAGACAATCTGGACAATCAGAGAGGGATAAGAGAATGGTGAGAGGGGAGAACACCATACTTGTCTTTAAGTATTTGAACGATCATCACACATAGGAATGATTCAACTTCAGCTGGGCTCCAGAGTTCAAAACTAGGAGCAACAGATGGAAATGGCAAAGGACAGATTTAGATTTAATGTAAGGAAAAAGTTCCTCACAATCAGAGAGATTCAACAGTAGAATGAGCATCTGTAGAATGTTCCCTTTAAGGGTCTTCAACTAGTGCTTGGATGACCATTTGTCAGAGATCTGTGGAGGGGATCCTTCTTCAGGTATAGGTGCAACTGGAAAGATGCCATAGGCATCTGTGAACAATGAAAGACATCTGGCGGTGGGGGTGGAGATGAAGAGGGTGAGAATGGAAAGATTACAGGCTCAGGAGATATGTGCACGCATTCTAGCTCTGCCAATAATGAGGCACCTCACAATTTTTCTGAGCCTGTGACTTATCTATAAAATGAAGGAATAGGGTATGCTAGACTTTAAATTCTCTTCCAGTTTTGACACCATGATCTATCTATTGGAATCAAACATAGAATGTGCTCCTTTATTCTTTTCTCAGTGTGAATCAGTTATCTTGTGTTAATTTTCACATATCAAAATTGATGTGTAGAATTTTCTTTTAAAGTATGTTAAACATAATAGAAAATTCATAAACCAGAATGAAAAAAGCAAAAGAGTCTGGCTCTTCATGCCTTCTGTTGGTGTACAGGAGCATGGTGTGCTCCTAATTTATTGAATACTTGGTAATTATTCTAACCAATATGACATAACCAAGCTCAGAGAGGTTGCCATCTCTCTAAAGTTAAAAATAAACCCATGTGTCTTGGCCACTAGTTTTTACCCATGTAGTATAGTAGACTTTAGGTAAAAAAATTTTTACTTTTGTTTATGATGTTCAAAAAATTAGCATTTCATCATTCTTAACATCCAGAATTTTCTGGTTCATTGGTTCATTGAAGTTATATATTGAAATTGGTAGCTTCACACATTTAAGAACATAAGGATAACAGGATTCAGCCCGATGGAACAGTAACACAAACATTATAAATCTGTGTGAAAAAGCAATTTCCCATATTCTAATATCTGACACGCAAAAGTCTACTTTGTGTCAGCCACCATCCCACAGATGTTCTGAGTACAGCTACAAAAATAACTTGCCTAGAATTAACTGCATTGCTAACTAATTTTTGGCTGAACACAAAGCAGGAGCATCAAGGAAGTGAACTGGGTTTTCCAATCCAGAGTTTCTTTAAAATGAGAAGTATCTATCATTATTATTATTAAATCATGCGAATGAAAAAAATCTTTTCCCTCAGTTCCAACAAGTAAAAATGTGGTCCCCTAAACAGGGCCCTTTCTCTAAAAGGTACATTTTGCTTGCATTTGTTCTCCCAAGATAGTACCTTGGTGCTTCTCCTATTTGAGTCAATTTCCCAGTATCCTGAAATTTGGATGCAGGACTCTCCATCCTTTCCCTGAAGTTGCCCTTTGATTATTTTATACAGCCACCCACATTCTTTTATTTATCAACACATAGCAGTGCAAAACTAAAAGAAAAATCCAATGTTGCCTCTTTATCATAAGTTGAACCAAGCCAAGAACAACAGGGTAGGGAAAGTATGAGAGTAGAAAGAATACAAAATACTCAAGCAAAGTTGTACAAAGCCAGTCTAAAAATATCGTTAGTGCAAATCCATTTGTCATTCATATTCTTCAGAATAAACAGTTGGTGGAATCCCATCACAGGCTCTTCATCTACCTTTTAAAAAGAAGGGGGGGAAGTTATTCTATGGTATTTAGTGTTGGGTTTTTTTTTAGTATTTGGTTTCTTAATAAGTTTTTACTGTCTTCTTTTTACATCACCATAATTTCCCAAGTATTCTTCTCCTCCCTTTCAACCTCCCAGAAAGCCACCCACATAACAAACAGTATTTTAAGACAAAAAATACAAAGATAAAGAGGGAAAAATCAGTATAACTGATCAATATATTGAAAAGGTCTGAAAATATGTGCAATGTGCATTTATGGATCTTCCAGAGAGCCATAAGGGAAGGGGTGAGGATATCTTCTCATATATCTTCCTGTGAACCATGTGTGTTTTTCTAATTTTGAAACACTGACTTTCGGTTTTATTTCATGGTTGTTCTATTCGTTACATTATTGTAGTCACTGTATGTATTGTTTTCTCAGCTCTGCTTGTATAATATTTTAAGTGTTATTCAATCACTATCAGTAGGAATTACATGCTCATCACTATCAGACTATAATGGAGGAACATATTCCTCATATGTCTCTTGCTTATCAAGACAGAAAGCTTCTATAATTTTGCTGTGAATTTTACAATAGAGGGGGCCTATACATCAGAAGTGTATTTCATTGTAATGTTTTCCCTTTCCACAACCTTTGAAAAGATATGTTTCACGCCTTTGTTGAATGAAGAGTACCAATTTCCTGCCCTCCACCCCTACCCAACTCCATAACCACTTCATTTGTCCTATTCTGTATATTCCTTAGTTTCATTAGCTTTTCTGAAGTGTGATAATAAAGACGGCAGTATTGCAGGATACGATATACCAGATGTGGATTTATTAAATAAGAGCTAGATCATGTTTTTTAATACTCATTTTGATGTCTCTTATTGATAGTATAACGGCCAATATTCTCAGGAAATTATCTATAACAACTACTAGGTTCCTGGCCTGAGTTATAGTTGTTGGCTCAGAACCTTTCTTCTTTACCTATAATTTAGATTATTTATTTATAAATGCATAGACTCATAATATATTTTGGTATTCTAATCCTCATTATTCGGCACCTTCCCTACCCAGAAAACTGAGTGTCATTCAAAAATCTGGAGATTTCGCTCTTCCAAATCAACCATTATATTTTTATCCTTAAACACATTTGTCCCATGGATTGTCAAACTATTCCATACTTTTTCCAAGTATTCTTTGACCTTCCTAATATCTGGTTTACATCTAGCCCACTTCCCTGGGGCTTTCCTGTTCTCACATGGCATCTTAATTTTTTAAGGGAAAGAAATCCTTTTCCTTTTCCTAAGACAGCCTCTGGACCATTGCTAATTGTCCATAAATCCACAGGACACATTTTTCCTGAGACTTTAATATAGTTCTTAAATAGTCTCCAGGTTTCTTATAGATTACTGACATCTTTAATTCTACCTCTCAGTCTTTTCTCCAAATATTTATATTTTTTCTTCCCTTTCATAAAACTGAATAACCTTCTGATGTCTTGGTTTTTTTTCTCCTGCCATGGTTGAATTTACTTATCAATTCCCAGTCCAGTTTCTATTCAATAATTAAGCCCACGTCTAGTAAATTTCCCTTCTATCCCATCCTAGGCATCATTTGATGCACATAGGTAAAGCTAAAAGGTTCAATGTATCCAAGGAACTAGGATAGGTCATTCTGGGAATGATAAATTCTATGGTGATAGATAGCAGATTACTTCACCCAAAGGCTGAGGTGTTTAGACCAAAGTTTCAGTAACCTACCATGGGTAATCTGATCATTCAAGTAGAAATTAAAAAAACCCCAAGGTTAATGGGCAAGGAAAGAACTTAAAGGGGCTAATGAAAAGATAGTCAGTTTTGAGATCAAGGAATGATTCAAGAAGCGTAGAGGGATTACCAACAATATAATAAGGAAATGAGAAACAATAATAAAAATTTATACTTACCAAATACTCTTCTTATATGTATTAAGTAGCATTGATTTTTCAAATCCTTACCTTTAACTGACCCACAACCATACTAAGGATACAGTTATCTGGAGCTGGCTGGTGATCTTGAGATGTGATACTGTGCTGGATTTTTTGGAATGGAAGATTCTGATGAGAAGGGGGAGGGGGAAACATACACATAAAACATTTGAACTTCAAATAAGGTAAACATTTATTAAATTTCACATTAACAAAAACAACAAATGGTACATTTACTTATGAATTGACACCATTAAATTCCTGGATGATTTTTAGGTGGCAATGCATTATTGAATTTTATTTGTTCCAAAGGCTAATAAACTATTCTATTTCTGCTATTATTATTGAACTCTGAAAAATCTAAACTCACCACTCTATTCTCAAAGCTGGATTACTGCAAAAACAGAAGAAAGAAGTCCTAAGAGACAAGATGAAAATAAATGGATAGGGATCATTTCATGCTCTAAAATTATATACTCAAAAGTCCTATTCAGATGACCTCACTGTGGTAAGGAAATGATCTTGATTCTTTTAGGTTTTGCTGATTGAGCACCAATTCTAGCCAGTCCTCAGTGAAAAGACTTCAAATATTGGATCAGTAACAGACTATGGTCTTCAATATTGATTCCAGAAGACCATTTTCCATCAGCATCATTCCTCCTCCAGGATAAGCCTCATCACTACGCAGATGGACTCAGTTTTTGGTTTACAACATCTTCTCAACTCCCATAGAGTGCCAGACCTGGAATCAGGAAGACTCATCTTCTTGAGTACAAATCTGGCCTTAGACATTTATTAGCTGTGTGATGCTGGGCAAGTCTCTTAACCCTGTTTGCCTCAGTTTCTTCATGTGTAAAATGAGCTAGAGAAGGAAATGGCAAGCCACTCCACTATCTCTACCAAGAAAACCCCAAATGGAGTCATAAAGATTTGTACATGACTGAAGCAACTGAACAACAACAAAAACACCAACTCAACTCTTTCAGGTACCTCTCCCCTCTGATGAGACAACTGGAGGGTAGAGAAATAAGCCCCTCCCAAAGCCTTCCTTTATAGAGGCCTCAGAACTTTGCAGTAATTTTCCATTTCCCATCAGCAGCTCTGCTTGGTTTCAACTCCACAGAGCATCATGCCTCCATGCTGGGTTCCACCCTAATACCCTCCATTCCAGCTTCCTTTTGTGGGTTTCTTGCCCCAATTAGATTGTAAGCTCCTTGATGGCAGGGACTATCTTTCTCTTTCTTATTTGTATTACCAGTGCTTTGAACCAGCCTGACACATAGTAGGCACTCAATCAATGTTTATTGAATTGAGTTGATTACAAATGCAAAAATATAGACCTGGGTACTGTGTCAATTGGTTTTACTTAACTTTTTTTTTTGGCAACAGAAAGAGAAGATTACTGGGAAGGAACCGTGGCATAAAATAAAAGCATCAATAAAAAATTTGTAATGGGGCCTTGGCACATGCCCAGATCAGCCAAGATGGAGGCCCCTACAAGGGAGATGCCAGAGACTTGCTTCTGAGAGAAGACCATTCTGCTTTGGCCTACCACATTGTTGGGAACAGCCTCTTTCCATAGGCTATATAGCCAGAACTGCCTGTGTTTAAAAATCTACTTGACTGAGGCACAGTCTCTCTTCTTCCAGGGGCATCTAGCAGCAAAGGTCTTGTTTACCCACAGTAGGGTCACCATCAATCAATCAAAAGAGCACCTGTTTTGTTCCAGGCACTGTGCTAAGTGCTAGAGACACAAAAAGAGGCAAAAGACGTCCCTGTACTCAAGAGACTATAATCTAGTGGAAGAAAGCCCACATGCAAACAAATATATACAAAGCAAACTATATATACAAGATAAATAGGAAATAATTAAAACAAAATGAAGGCACTGGAATTATGCAGTAAGTTGGGCAGACAATGAAATACCTTTTCCTTCCCCTTAGGCCTTGTGGGCCTAACAAACAGACTTGGGGTTTGGGGCTTCCTTCATTTATCCTTTTTAGTTCCAAGGGAGGGAAATGGAATTCCAGACACAGAAGTTCAAGCTAAAGTAACCTTGGAGCCCAGCAATTCAGGTTGACATTGCCACCAGTTTAGCAAGGAAGCCCTGAGAAGTCAGGGAATGATTTGGATTAAGAGCCTAAGGGGGTGATTTAGACTTGGAACCTGTTGGGACTAATGCTATCTGAGAACTGAGCTAAATTGTGGATCCAATTTTCCTCCTTTCCTCAGAAAACAAGGGCATCTAGGAAGTATTATGTCCCCTAGGTGCTGGGGTAAATGTTTCTATGTTCTCATTGTGCCTTTGAAGCAAATATTTCTTTGTTTTCTTTTCTTTTTTGGCTAGGCAATGGGGTTAAGTGACTTGCCCAGGGTCACACAGCTAGTAAGTGTCAAGTGTTTGAGGCTGGTGAAGTAAATATTTCTTCAAAAAACTAACCTGATTGTTAAATGGTTTAATGAACCTAGGGCATGTGGTCCTCTAAAATTAGGGCAACACAACAGGTGAGGGCTTGAGCCAATAACATAGATGAGACACTTCCCCAAACCTTTAAGGGTATGTATAGAAAGCCTTGGAGGATTTGGTGAAAATGTAACAGACTTGGTCTTCAGGACACTGTTGCACACTTAAAAGAAAAAGACTATAGTCCAAGGAGGCAGCATGGTACAGTGGAAAGGACATAAAAATTGGGGTCAGAGGACCTTAGTTCAAATCCCAGCTCTGCCACTTAATAACCATGTAAATGAACTTTGAGCAAGTCACTGACTCTCTACAGACCTCAGGTTCCTCATCTATAAAAAGAAGGCTCTGAGGCTTTTAAGGTCACTTTCATTCCTAAATCTATGATTGTATGAGGACTACCTCTCCAGGTAAGTTTGGTGAAGCTCATCACTGAAAGGTTTGCCTCCATGGGATGATTTTTTTTTTTGGCCACAGCAACTCAATGATTATCTAAAATTAGGCAGTCAGATTTTTAAGCATTATTAAGCACTTGCGATGTGTCAAGCACTATACTAAGGCTGGGAATACAAAGAAAGTCAAAAACAGTCCCTGTCCTCAAGAGGTTCACATTCTAATGGACCGGAAGCCATTCCAATAATTATGCATAGTCAAGATATGTAAATGGAAGGTAATCTCTGAGAAAAGACATTAGCAATTAGGGGGACTGGAAAAGGTCTCTTATAGAAAGCAAGATTTGAGCTGAGTCTTGAAGGAAGCCAGGGACTCTAGGAGGCTTCCAGGCATGGGGAACATTCAGTATCTATACATGGAGTTGGGAAAAATGGTGTAATGTGTCAAGAATAGCAATTAGGCCAGTGCAGTTGGATAGAGGAATGCAGAATAAGAAATGAATGAATCCTGCCCCTCACCCACCCTCTGTTTCATGGAGGTAGGAGGTCCACTGATGTTGTACATAGCACAGGCGTTCAGACTTTTTCAATGCATTAATAGGTCATGCTGAATTTTTCCTCTTCATTTTCTTTTTCTTTTTTTGTCTTTTAAAATAAGAGCCAATATGAAAAGGGTTTTATATGCCAAACAGAAGTCTTTGTATTGATCCTGGGATTTATACAAAACCACTGGAGTTTGCTGAATAGTGAGGGGAAGTGATAATGGTCAGACCTGTGCTTTAGGAAAATCACTTTGGCAGCTGAGTGGTGGATGGAGAGACTTGAAGCAGCATGACCAATTAGAAAGCTATTGTAATAGTATAGGCAAGAGGGTATGAAGGCTTGTACTAGGCTGGTGGCTCTGTGAGTAGAGAGAAAGGGATGTATATGATTGGATATATGAGGTGAGAGGAAATGAGAAGTTAAGGATTATATTGGATTTTGAGCTTGAGTGACAGGAAAGATAGTGGTGCTCAAGCACAATAAGGAAATTGGGAAGAGGGCACAGTTTAGGGAGAAGGGAAATATAATGAGCTCTGTTTTAGATACGTTGAATTTCACATGCCTATGAGACATCAAGTTTGAAATGTCCAAAAGGCAGTTGATGATACAGGACTACAGCTCTGAAGAGCAACTAGGGTTGGATACATAGATCTGGCAATTATCTGTATAGAGATGGTCACTGAAACCATAGGAGCTGACGAGATCACCAACTGAGAGCGTGTAAAGAAGGACCCAGGACAGAGCCTAGGGGGGACAATTAAATTTAACAGTCATATCACCTGGAAGAGGAACTAGGAAAGTAGATTGAGGAGTGGTCTGACAGATAGTAGGAGAACCAGGAAAGTGCAGTGTCATGAAAACCTAGAGAGATAAAAGTATTCAGGAGATGATTAATAGTGTAAAAAGCTACATAGAAGTCAAGGATGAGGACTGAGACAGACCATTAAATCCGGAGACAGTTTCTCTCTATAAATCAGAAAATGACTAAAGAAAATATTTTATGTGAATATAATGGAATGCTATTATGGCCTGGGAAATGGCAAAAAGAATGGTTTCAAAGAAACTTGGGAAGACTTGTATGAGCTTGAAACAAAGTTAAATGAATAGAACCAGGAGAATAATTTATGTAATAACAACAACCTCATAAATACAAACAATTTTGAAAGACTTAAGAATTCTGATTGATGCAATGACCAACCATGATTCCAGAGGATATATGCCCTTGACTTCCTGGTAGAGACTCAAGATACAGAATGAGATGTATTTTTGGCCAAGAACAATTTGAGAATTTACTTTTCTTGAATATGAGCATATGTTACGAAAGTTGTGCTTTTCTTTTCTTTTTCCCAATGGGGAGGGAAGGTGAGAAGGAGAGAAAATAAATGACAAATAAGAGAAAAAATTTTAAACATATAAGCATATTTTAAGAAATCATTGGTAACTTTGAAGAAAAGTCTCAATTAGATATTGAGGTTGGAAGCTAGGATGCAAAAAGTTCAGGAGTGAAAAGAAAGGAAAAAGAGTCATCTATTATAGACTGCTTTCTCATGGAGTTTAGCTGAAAATAGAAAGATATAGTATGACAGGTACTAAGGGTGATTAGATCAAGAAAGGGTTTTTTTTTAAAGGGTGGTTGAGACATAGGAATTTGTTTTTGTTTTTGGTTTGTATTTTTTTTTATAGCAGAGAAGGATCTAGAAGAGACTGAAAATAAGGGAGAATGTGGGGATGAC